TTATACCTAAGTGAAAGGTATTTTAAATATACAAAAATAAATGCTAGGAATTTATAATAAAAATTTATTAACGTGCAATTTGTTTGCTCAAGAGTATACGAACCATAACGTACAAGGAACTCGAGCGATTAAACGTGTTTAACCAGGTCAAGTGCGCCACTGTTTACGTCGAATTCTATCGAAACTCGTTTTTTTTTACCGCGTAAAAAAAAAAAAGGAGAAAACGACGAGGGGGAACGATCGAAGGAAAGGAAGGATTTTCGAATTGTGTTCGTTCGGGTTATTAAGTGCCTGAGCTTTGTTGCTCTTCCCTAACGGGTGGATGATGATGCTGCGCGCGAAGGGTTGGTTTCGTAGGCGAAGCAGAGGGGTGACTAGAAATCGGAGCAAGCAACAGGTTGGCAATCCTGATTTTGAACGCCTACATGCATAAGCATTACATGTATACTCAACGTGAGCAGGTGCACCGCAGCTAATGGGCGATGGGCATGCATATTAAGCAGCAAGGGTTCAATGCCGCTCGCATCACGCTAATGAGGACTTTTAATTTTTACCGACGAGTTACATTTTGTGATTCGAGAAATGCCGACGAACGCTAATTCGACATCGAAATTACACACGTACACGCTCGACGAACGTAATAATCGTACCGACAAATTTCTGAAATTATACATTGCCCGATTTATTATGTTATTCGTCGAAAATGACGGAATTGCGTCTCGCGGTTTTTTACGAGAAATGGATCACAACACAGAGACAAACGATTGAATTGATTTCAACGAAGCTTTACTTTCATGTTCCATATTCATTAATTTTTAATTAATACTGATTTTCATTAAGTTTGCAATTTTTTAAAATATTTTCAATAAATCTTAAGAAAGCTTAAATAAACGATTGTTTTGTTTTCTTCGATAAAGAAAAATTTAACGATATCTTGGTTCTTTTCGCATATTCAATATTTAGTAACATAAAGGTTCAAACATAATTTCGTGTTGGCACATAGAGAATAAATAGTCAGCAGATTTCAAGTTTTTTTATCAATTTTAGAGTCTGCTACTGTTTATTCCGCCAATTTATACAGCATTTATTTAATAGCCCGGCTGCATTTATTACGTTCTTGAGTTCATAAAAAAAGCACCATGGCAGTTGACCACCGCCAAGGATATTTTACGTGATCAATCAACTCGATCTCAGATCATTTTCGTTTTTCAGAAGACGAATAAATTATACAGTACGAGGTGTAATTAGCGATCGGACTGATACAATTATGTATTTTTGATATTCGAGCAATTCGATACCACACACTTAATAGGAAGTATGAGAAGGTATCGACAGGTACCAATTTTCGACATCGATATTTTTGTAATGAACGCTTGGCCGATACCAATAGTATTTAGTGACGAGAAAAAGTTTAAACAAGACTGCTTCGTACATTGTCTTATTACTTTTCCGGCTCTTATTCGTCTTTTTAGTTCAACTTCTAACGGTTTGTGGTTTCTTCTATCTGCTGTGCAAACGTTTAGAAACTTTAATCGCAGTTTCACATTCCTTGTTCCACCATCGGAGTTTATAGCAGTTTCTAATTATTTTTGATGCTTTTTTCTAAACGGACTTTATCTGCTGCTTGCCTTACAGTGGAAATTAATTCATCTATCGGATATATGTTAGAATGTTTTCAGTTTGCTAAGTCATATTTCCATCGTGGCGGGTATTTAAACTGGTTTCTGGAACGATTTGTATTAAATTTTATTCTAATAGGGAACTGGTTGCTATCGTGTAATCCATGGATTCTTTAACATATGCACTTGTAGGCTATATTTGCGCTATAAAAGGGTTAAGTCGGTTCTGCTGAATATTCCACTAGCTACCCTGAAGTAAATTGATTTGCGACCAAATAAAAGTGGAATGTTCTGACTCTGTATGATTTATTTCATAACATTTCCTTTTGAGCCAGCTTTTTTCAGATTAAGTCTTCTGAATCATTTAGTTGAAAATTGTTAGAAATCCATATAAAAGTACTTTTGTTAATACTATTTTATCATAGTACAAGTGAAAACTTGATCAAACATGATTTTCTTTGGAATAGTAAAGAGTTTGAATATTTATCTTTCAAAGTCATTATTTATTTATGTTTATGGAAAGTGACGATCATATAGATGAAAGTAAGTCAACAGATTTCTACAGCTTACTGGTTTATTTATTTGAAAGTCTAATAAATTTCTTTCGACAAAAGGAGGCATGGACTGACATTAAAGAATTTTATACTTTATTACATAATCCTTCAAACGAATTTATAACTATTTCTTTTAATTATAGACTTTATGACTTTACCGTATCACTAATCAGTTTTAGATAGCAACGAGGAGAAGTGTATTCTACAGGCCAATTATAAAGTCATATTTAAAAAAGAACAATTCATGAAACGAGTATCACTGCAAATATTACATATCTTACTAAAGAATAATATTGTTTTACTGTAACTAATCCTAAACATCAACTCCAAATCGAAATATCCATGCTCACAAAACCATATTGTGTATCTGTTGGAATATGGAAGGGGTAGTTAACTAATGTAACCCAACAAATTTTTACAAAATAATAATGAAAAAATACCAGTGGATTTTAATGCCACCACTTAATAATAATTCTCTAGTAAATAAAAATTAAGGTAACGAAACTGTGGAAATACTGATAACAAAACGTTCGATCTTCCGTTTACTATATTTATACATATTTGCACACTTCCAACTATGTGTAAATAAAATGTATCAAACAATCGAATTTTGAATATGGTCTCGATAGTTCGTCATTTATTTATACGAATATAAATGAGGCAGTTATTATTAAAATCGGTAAGTATAAAAAGATATGGCAATTTAATTTGCATCTTCCAAGTCGACCAAGCAAGTATTCAGCAATATACATACAGTGACTCAAACAATTGATCAAATGTTCGAACAAACAGAAAACAAGTCACAGTACACCTTTCTCAGAATCTTGCTTAAGACTGTTGATATATATACGAAAAATGTAAACATTGCATCGTTACTTCACGACAGTTTGAGCCCTGTAATCGTACAAAGCGGACGTGTATTACGAATTATATTCTGTGCATTATTTGATCAATTATTTGTGTTAAGCTTAATTGTGCAAAATTCTTATATTTTTGGCATTACTTAGCACAAATATAATTACTGGTAAGTCATAACGTTATTTTTAAACATTTGAGAATACGTTTGTAATAAAATAATTAGTAAGAAAAATACTTTTAGTCATATTTCATAATGAGACCAATAAAAGCAAGTAAAATATCAGAAATTAAAAAACTATTAATATCTGAGCTTTCTCATCGCGAGATTTCTAAGAAGGTACTGTGCTCTGTTGGTACTGTGTCATCAGTACGTAAAACTTTAAAAGAAAACATACTAAAAAATAAAGCAGGACGAAAATCAAAGTTATCCACTACCACAAAGCGATTAATCATACGATCAATCCGTAATGGTAGCATTGATAATGCTGTACAGATGCAAAAAAATTTAGTCACACACCATAATATTAACGTAAGTGCTGAAACAGTGCATAATGTACTGCGAGAAGTGAATTTAAAAGGATGTGCAAAAATAAAGAAACCTCTTCTTACAAAGCGGCATAAGAAGCTTCGACTGCAGTTTGCCGAAAAATATAAAAATTATACAGATCTCGATTGGGCACGAGTAATATGGTCAGACGAGACGAAAATTAATCGTTTTGGGTGCGATGGACGGGAATGGACATGGCGAGGAAATAAAGAACAAATACGGTCGCATCACGTTCATCCAACACTGAAATTTGGAGGAGGCCATATCATGGTTTGGGGTTGTATGACCAGTGAGGGCGTCGGATGCGTTGAAAAAATTGAAGGTCGAATGACTGCAACATCATACACATCCATCCTGCAGAAAAGTTTAATTGGAAGTTTGGAAAAATGGAATAAGAACGCAGAAGAAGTTATTTTTCAGCACGATAATGACCCTAAACACACGGCAAAAATCACCAAAGAATGGTTAACAGCTCATGGTTTTACTGTTTTAGACTGGCCCCCACAGTCTCCTGATCTGAACCCAATAGAACACCTATGGGGTTTACTAAAAAGAACAGTTGCCAACTTCGATCACAATTCAAGAAGTATTATTGAATTGTGGTCTGAAGTTAAAACTGCTTGGGAAAATATTAAGGCTGAACAGTGTAAAAGTTTAGTAGATAGTATGCCAAGACGCATAGAAGCCGTATTGAAAGCGAAAGGAGGGTATACGAAGTACTGATATTTCATTTTTTCAAACTCAAAAATTTGATCATTACATCATTTGTTAATGTTATTTAATTTTTTTTTAAAAAGTGTAACATATTTAAGTTAATTCTGTATTATATGAACTATGAAAACTATGTATGTAATTATAATAAAATATTTTGTTACATATCTTATTAACATGTGTTCAATTAAATAAAAATTTAAACAAAATTAAACATTTGATCAATTGTTTGAGTTACTGTATATGTGGTAATAAAGTTAGTGTACAAATATGTATGATAGTTCTAATAAATATGTTCACTATAATTACCAAAATAATTATTTTTTACAAGTATATCTTGGGCACTAAGAACAGAAATAGTTAAAATTTGTATCTAAATACAAATCGAAATTGTTATTAATTAAAATTACAGAGAAATATACTTTTTTCTCATATAATTCATTTCACATATTTGCACATTTCGTTAGGTAGAAGATGACGAACTTTCGATCTAAACGAGTCGAAATACTTAAACAAAACTATAAAATGCAATAAAGAAACTATTTTTTTGTCAACTGCAAGCTCTTACATACGGAATGACAGATTATAGTTTACATTAAATACATGGCAACAAGGTCGTTTCAACGAATTTGCACCTTCCAAGTCGACCAAGCAAGTGTTCATCAATGTATACGATAAAAAATAGAATATAGAAGGTTTGTGAACACTCACCGGATTGCGACTGCGGCAAGTGTGTCGTTGTCCCAGTATGGGGGTGCAATGAGGGTAATTTTCTGGAAGTAGGAATACTGATGACACCACTGAGGCCCGAGTGCATACCGTTGCTACCGTGATTGCTAATAGGCGAGTCGCCGCTGCTACTGTCGTAACTACCCTCGAGACTTCTAGCCGGTTGAGGGACCGAGGTAAGTCGATCAGCTTCCACCCCGAATGGCGGTGGATCCACCTGCTAGGAAGAGATCAATTACGATCGGGGGCCGGTGAGATGAAGCTTATTTGAAATTATCGCGGCTGCGAGGCGCAGAGGAAACACACAGTGGCAATTTGCCTTGCATCGCATGCGGCCGAACCTTGGTGTTAAAAACATGAAATGTACGAAATAATCATAGCTTTGGCGAGATTCTTTTCAGGCAATTACAGTATCTACAATTCCAAATCGACGATTTAACGATCAAAGTCGACGATGGAGTCGTTAATGGAACGGTTTATTTTTAAGAACCACGGTACAATTCACGCGCGCACATTTACAGAGCGCAATTAGTAGAAAAGTGGTATCGAGAAGGTAAAACACGAGGCAAAAAAAAGAATTTCCTGCCATATACTTCGTTTGTATACTTTTTATTATTAACTTTTAAGGTATAGAAGAATTTAATAAAATCGTAGTGCTTCGTTGTATGATTTCTTATTTAAAAATTCGGAATGTAGTGTTCATATTATTTATTGAACTTTCTCCTTTTATTCTGTTTGATATACTCTATGTAAATTTTGATTTTTTGTTTCTCTTTGGTAAGTAAAGTTATTAAATTATTATTAATTATTAGCAATTAATCGAATATGCTATTGGAAAAATTTAATCACTCGTGCCATTATACAGTTCGAGCGAGTGAAATTATTCTTCCAAAAAAATGTAAATTTAATAATAAAAAAGCAATTCGTTATATTCGAGATATAAGCCTTGAAATCTAAGTAGAAATAGTGAATAACAGACGCGACAGGCAAATCGTATTCAGTCTCACGCGTGCCCCACAAATTTTCAAATTCGATTATCCCGAAAACGAAGCATTGGACGGAACAATTTTGTTTTGCATTTTCGATTCACTTTTCCTTTTATGTCGATGGACGATCTAAAAAAAGGGATCAAACTGGCTAAAATGACTTCTACATTCGACGAATTTTTAATAGACTAAACAGTTCAGTATTTGACGTTTTGCACGCCTCCAACGGGATAATCTGTGGGATGGTCGATGTAACGAGAATAATTCTTTCCGAGAGGCCCTGATTTTGGATTAATAATCGTGTCGCCACGTGGCTTTACATTTTTTAAGACCTCTCGGGAAAAAAGGCAAGTATGGAAGGAAGATTTGCAGTGATCAGAGGAAATGTGAAGTGATTAGAGTTGGGCACATTTCGTTAATTAATAACAAATAAAAGTTTCAAATTAATTCGTAAACTAACTTTTGCTCACGGCAGCGAAAATTAGATCACAAACGAATAGAAAATGTTTATCCGTTGCTCGTGAATAAAATTAGTCCAACTCTGGCAAATGATGCAGGGGAGACCTCAAACACGATATCTCGGGATCGACCCACAGTATGCTAATACAAATAATACGATTTGTTGCTTGCAATATTTAAATTAAATCTCAAGCTAGTAGTCTATCCATGCATTCTACAAAAATATTTCCAAACTGTAGTTTGAGTTTCAAAAATTGAGTATATTATATTAAAAAGTATTTTAAACAGAAAAGAGTAACAAACTTTTAGAATAAACGTCTACGATAAAGATATAATCAAAATTACAAATTTATTTTATTTGAATAAGATTCAGCCCATCTCTGTTTCATAATCGGTACTTACGAATTAAAAAATAAATGAAAAGATACATTTACTTACGTGTATAGAACATCGTAAGGTCAAACGAACGTTCTATTAACTTCTGAAAATAACCCACTTTTAATTAATCTCTGAAAATATTGTATAAACAGACTACCAATTTGAGATTGAATATTAACAAAAACACTCAACCCAAAGTCATTAACCCTTTGCACTCCGAGAGTATTTATGAATACGAACGATTATACCAAATTAAATTTTGTAATATGATTTCTAAAAATAAAAAAATATTCTTTCCACAAACATGTATATGAATACCTATAATTTATATTTTATTTATATGTTTTCTAAATTCAGTTTGTGCCGTCGTAAATGAGACTTGAATAGAGCTATAGTACGTATTATGTTTGCCGCCATAGCGGCGCCAGTGGGGTGCAAAGGGTTAAAAGTACTGCAACGAGTGTGCTTCGACAAACAACGACAAAGCAGACGACACAAAACATTGAAATATGTCCGTAAAGAGCGATTATCGCGTGAAAGTGGCCCGCAGCCGCGAGATAACAGGGTTAAAAGCACCCCTAAGGAACAAGGAAGGACTAACCTCTTCTGCAGCCCTAATTTTCACCTCGTCCTGTGCCAGGGCTCTCCTCAGCGCCGTTTGCTTCGCCATCACTCGTTGCCGGTCCGCGGTGAGCTTACACTTCTCGCACTTGCAGTAACGGTACTTGCAGTACCTTTTATGCCCCTTTAGGGGAATTTTTAATCGGTGGTTGCGGCATCGCGCGCAATTCGGCGGTGTGCGCGGGCTCTGCGTGGTATTCGAGGACGAGGACGCGTTCGTTTTCATCTGGGTAGAAAGGGCCTCGTCCCCGTTTTCCATGCTTTCCTGTGCCCGGTGCTCCGAACACGCTCAAATATACTTCCACAAATCGATCGTTTGACAGTCAGCTTTGTGATTCTTTTCCCCCTCGCGAACCTCACAGTACGCGAGCGTTCCCGTACGAGAACCTTTTCATTGCCGCTAGAAATATCGAAAAGGTGCTTGGACGGACAGGTCTTCGGCAGGTTGCCTTTATTCTTCCACCGTGTGTTTATCAAAGAAAAATACGTCACGTGACTCTTTCCCATACACGGCTCCGATATTCGGCATCGTTCTTTCGTCGAGTCCCGATTCTACGTTCTGAAACAGAAGAGCACACATGTAAGCTCGAGCAACTCGGAATATGTACACCGAACGTGTCTCGCTCACGCGTTCTGACAAATGACCAACGTCGATTATCGGAAATAAGTAGGCGAAACATCCCCCGTGAGAGAGTTCTTTGATAGTCGTTAACGAAATACGGATAATACCAAAAAAAAATTTTAATGAGAGATTCTAGTGGCCAAAATAAGATGAAAATCAAGAATACCCATTTGTTGATTGAGGCTTCGTTAAAAAGTTATTAACAAAATTACTGTCAAAAATTATTAGTAAAATTTGCCCACCTACACGAATTTTTTTCTCGAAAGTGCTTAGGATTTCGGAGGTATGACTATTCACCAAAAATTATTGTAATTAAACCCTGCAATCGAAAATAATTTTTTCCAGAATGATTTGAAACTTTTTAATTTCGGTGAAAAATTTAGGTACAATTGTCGATTTTTCTTAAAACCTCGTTTTTGATTTTTAGTAATTTTGTTTGACGCCCTATAGAAAAGTTCTATAATACTTTTTTGTAGGTACCCATGAGCCCTACTTCAGAAAAAAGTTTCATTGAAATATATTCACTATTGTACGAATAATGGCTGTTTTAAAATTGGACCATTTCTATGGGGTCTTTCTCACTTTACGGAATCAAGGAGCACCTTTTGCAATATTGCTAGAATTTCTACATATTCTTCACTAAAATACGCGTTATTTGCCTTTTGAAACATTAAAATCCTTCAATCCGTTCAAAAGTTATGACGTTTTAAAGATACGCAAGACATTTTGGAGTGACGTTTCTGGCCTGAATTTATATTTTCGGTAAGGAATTTTTTTCTCGAAAATGGTTAGGTTTTCGAGGCTATGTCTCTTGACCAAAAATGATTGTAATTGACCCCTGCAATCGAAAATAATTTTTTCCAGAATGATTTGAAACTTTTCAATTTCGGCGAAAAATTTGTTCACCTACTCGAATTTTTTTCTGCAAAGTGTCTAGGATTTCGAGGGTATGTTTATTCGCCAAAAATAATTGTAATTGACCCCCGCAATCAAAAATAATTTTTTCAGAATGATTTGAAATTTTTTGATTTTGCTGAAAAATTTTCCCGTCGATATGAAACTAAACCTCAATCAACAAATTGGTATTCTTGATTTTCGTCTTATTTTGGTCTCTAGAATCTCCCATTTATATTTGTCCCAGAGGTGACCGAACACCCTATATATTTATAGAAAGGCGGAAAATGTCGCTTCGTATCCGAAAAATTTATCGTGTCCAATTTATCGAAATTCAGAACATTCTTAGAAGCTGTGTTCCATCGAAATTTTAAGCTCATTTTAACACATTGATTGCCGCGGTGGTCGCCAGGCCGACACTTCGAACTTACAACGTGTTGCAATATTGTTTACGATGGAAAACCTCTGATACTTGTAAAATTGTAAATAACTTTACTTTAATTTGAAATATTCCAAAATACAAAATTCACCATTGAATTACCGAATATTTCTATGTTTGACACTATAACTTGAACAAACGTTGAGGACATCTTTGAATATAGAGAACTGACGTGGCAATTAACGTATTAATATATTGTAAATGTTATATAGATATGTTACATATCATTCATGTATGGGGCCGAAACATTTGGTAGCTTGAACATTGGCCCCATGATCTAGCGCACGTGTTTCATGCCGTATGTGAGCACTTTCCCAATTTTCATTGCCTTATATGGTAATACGCCATCATTGTACAGAGCAATTTCGAGTATATAAGGGCCGCGTTTTCTTACTCGAGGAACTCAGTTTTTCTAAAACTCTCGACACAACGTTACTTTGACACTCGAGGCAAGATCAAGCTATAATCCCCATCAAGCAACGTACCTACCTTAGCGGTTTTATTAGCGAGTGTTCATTAGACTAATCGAGAAGTAGCTCCCGCGAACGCGCCGCGTAAAAGCCGACATAGAACTTTCGCCGTCAAGGCAACCTAGCAATAGTACTAGTTCTGTTAATTGACCATTGTACTTGAGCATCGACTAGAATATATTGAAGTAGTTACCCTCATTTGCATTGTTCACTTAATCTAATCCTGAACTCTATTAACAGTAAGACTAGGGGTATCTCACGAACCTGGTACACCTTTACCGCTTGAGGTGTACCATTACGACAGAGCAAGATCCTAAAAACATCCTAAAAACGTGGCTCCCAGGGCATAAAACCCCTGGTTCGTCCACTCCTTCTAGCGGCTCCCAGGGTATAGAGCCCCTGGTTCGTCCGTGAAACCATACATTTTCCTTATAACTCTAACCCTGTGGCTCCCAAGGTAGAGCCCCTGGTTCGTCCACGTAACCTCCTCCTACAACTCCCAGGGTGTAGAGCCCCTGGTTCGTCCGGAACTCCTTTCTCTTTCCTAATCATACCTAAAACCACCGGTCGAGTACTGCCCTCGACTGAATCTAGGATCTCGCGCTCGTAACAGATATGGAGTTTATAAAATGCAAGAAATTCCTCATCGTTCGTCTTCCCTTTCAATAATGGACAAATAAACCCATTTTAAATAGCAATTTTTACTGAATTACTTATTTATAATATGAATTTCACGTGACTAGAGTAAATACCACAATCGAATATGTATACCAAGATTCATTAATCATTTTGAGGCACATAGCGTATAATTTCAATGTATCGCATGACAAATAGTAAAAGTCAACATGTTTTTTCGGGGTAAATTTAAACAAGTGAAACATGTACATTGATAATTGCGTATAATCGTTTGATCGGAGCAATCTTGTTTATCTCGAAGTACGATATCTGGATGTGAAATTCATTCGTCACATCGCTGCCCGTCGAATCGCATTGGACCTACATCAGAGCTGTTCAATTACTGGCCTGTGCGACCACATCCTGTTCTGGTCTTATCTAAACTGAAATTTAAACCGCGAAACAAACCGATTACTCCTTGTCGACGGAAAATTTGTCAACAGAACGAGATTCGTTACTTAAAATAATCAGAACATATCTACTCGAATAACAACTTTCCAGCTAAGAACCCAATACCGTAAGAGTTCCAGTTACGCTAGACACTCAATACACAATAATGTTACATTAAATACACAATATTTCTTTCAGTCCCAATGTTTGGTTCATTCTTCTAAAGTTTCTAGAAACGTGATACCTTGATTGCTCGAGAAATTTATGTGAACGAAAATAAACCCCTTGAGCGTTTCTACGAAATGGTATTAAGTCGACGAAGGGACTCCAACGTACGGTAAATCTTTACCATTCTCAGTTTATTACTTCCGTTTCTATTAATATTTAATGAATATTTGAATGTCAATATACCTATGTGATTTCTACGTAACAGCAAGAAAGAATGTTTCAAATGTTTTCTTTATTAATTGATTCCTCGATGCACAAATCTGAACTCTCCATTTTATCCCACTTGTCAAGCCATTCTCTATTACCCGCTGAGGAACAGTGTCCCCCGTGATTGTTCTTACTGTTTCTCTAATTGTGGTAATCACTGGCATAATGGAAGAGTACCCTTCTAGCTCTTTTCCCACCGTTGATGTCTTTTACAGTAATTGTTTCCATGGTTTAGAAATATTAATCTGCGTCGCGTCTACCCAAGTTTCATTCGGTAGATTAATAAAATTTTTTCGATGAAAATGAGTCTAATTACATACCCGTTCGAAATAATTTTAATTACGCGTTATAGGAACTTCTGAATTCTGTAAACTTAAATGTTACAGAAAGTCTGTTTCATAAAACATAATAATCAATAATAAAAATTTACCAAAATTATTTGTTAACTTAATGAAATCGATAAACTTCGCGATATTGCCAATGCTAAACTAAGGCTTTCTGATTAATATAAATTTTTCTACTTATTTTTAAACGGGTCATGTGTCACGGGTCGAACTTTAAATAACTTTTAATAGCAAAATTGTGATTAGATTAAAAGAAAAGGTATTACTCTAATTGCAATGGTTATCGAAAAAATATGATGAAAAGTAAGATAAACGTTACACAACAAGACTTGCTGATTGCACTACCTGACACTTACAATAAATGCAAAGTTACACATTGTAAATTTACAATACTGCATTTTTATCGGAAACTTTTCGCATTATTTCTACTTACCGTTATCTGCAAGAAACCATTCTTTTTATTTCTATGTAGAAAACAGTTTTACAGTTAACAATATTCACTTTTAACATTGACCATTTCGAAACCTATTGTACGTACAAACACGATTTCTTTTTTACAATCTATTCCTATATGCGCGTAGAATTATTTAAACGTTAACAACTGCGGAAAATAACAATTTGTTTATACGTGAATCCTTTCATATTTCATATTAGAAAAAATTCATATTTATGAGAAAGAATTAGCATTGGAAATATCGGGAAATTTACGAATTCCATCAAGTTAACAATCTACTGTGGACAAACTAATTGATCTACTAGAAGTAAATTTTGCACACTTATTGTATTTGATTTTAATACCTCGTATCCTGATTTTTGTTAAGAAAAATTGATCTTTTGAACTTCTGAATACACGAAAAAGATCCTCGTTTATACCAATAAATATTGCAGTTACAAAGAGACGAACAATACTATAGCATAATAAATAGAAATATTCAATAGTTCGGTACTTGATTATTTTGTAATATTCTTAACGTCAATGACACTATTCAAAAATTTACAAGTATTAAGGTTCGTTTATTCTAAACTTTTTACAGTGGCCACCATGACAGTCAACGTGTTAAGTACATATTTAGCCTAATCAAAAATGCAAGTTTCTTTACCTATATCGTATTATACATATTTTAATATCTTCAAACTTTTTATATAAATGTAGATCCTTAAAGATGAATATTTAATACATAAAAGAAAAAAATCTCAATCAGAACCCAGAAAAAAGCAAGAAAGGAATTTCCCCAGAATTCCTACTCAGGATTTAATTTTCATTTCAATAAAGTTATTTGGAATTAATTT